CTCCTTGGAAGGAAGGTTGGGCAATCTACTTCTGTAATGATACCACCTTGGAAACCCAAGGAGGGGTCACTATGAGTTGGATCCAACTCGACAGCAGTGAGTTTTTTGATGTCTATATTGAGGAACTCTGGTGGCGTACTAGGTAAAGCATCTGGCTGCTAACCAGATTGATGGTTCAAACCCACTAGCTGCTTTGCTGGAGGAAGATGAGGCAATCTACTTCCATAAAGATTTACAGCCTTGGAAACCCAAGTCTGACTGAGTCAGAATCAATTCAATGGCAGTAGGTTTGTTTGTTTTGGTGTTTTGTTTTGTTTTTGTATGTTTATATTAAATTTCCTGTATTTAGTAATTACATGAGCTTAACAAGTTAAATATCCTTGGAATTAGGAAATCCATACTAAAATATTAAGGGGTAAAGGGGGCATAGTGTCTGCAACTTACTCTCAAGTGGGAAAAAAGTATATATATAAAGTTTACTTGCACACGATCCTGTTGAGGTTCATTTTAGCTCAGTACTGGCCCTTGGAAAAGCACCATGGCCCTTATACTCTCTCAAGACAGGAACTAAAGCACAGTTACAGAGATGTGAACAAAGCACTAAATTTAAGGTCAGAAGGCCTAGGTTCAAATCCCAGCCTCACCACTTACTCTGCCTTGGGCAGCCAACTTCACTTCTCTAGCCTTACTTTCTTCCTCCTTTAGGGTAGGGATGGTGATGTATAATTTGCTGGATTGATTGATAATGACTGTGAGAAAAAAAGTAAGTTCTCTATCAGTGTTAGTTGAATCTCAGTGAAAGACCTATTTGCCTGGCCATGGGTAGGCATGTTGTTGTTCTTAGATGCTGTTGAGTCAGTTCTGACTCATAGTGACCCTGTGTACAACAGACCAAAACACTGCCCAGTCGTGTGCCAGCCTCATGATCATTGCTGTGTTTGAGCCCATTGTTTCAGCCACTGTGTCAGTCCACCTTGTTGAGGGGCTTCCTGTGTTTCTCTGACTCTCTGTTTTACCAAGCATGATAATCCTTCTCCAGAGACTGGTTGCTCCTGCTAACATGTATAAAGTACATAAGACAAAGTCTTGCCATCATCGCTTCTAAGGAGCATTCAGGCTGTACTTCTTCCAAGACAGATTTGTTCATTCTTCTCATAGTCTGTGGTGTACTTAATATTCTTTACCAACACCATAATTCAAAGGCATCAATTCTTCTGCAGTCTTCTTATTTTTTCATTCTCCAGCTTTCACTTGCATATGAGGTGATTGAAAATATCATGGCTTTACTCAGGTGAATCTTAGTCCTCAGAATGATATCTTTGCTTTTTAATGATTGAAAGAGGTCCTTTGCAGCAGATTTGCCTAATGCAAATACATCGTTTGATTTTTTAACTGCTGCTTCTGTGAATGTTGATTGTGGATCCACGTAAAAGGAAATCCTTGACAACTTCAATCATTTCTCCATTTATCATGATGTTGCTTATTGGTTCAGTTGTGAGGATTTTAGTTTTCTTTGTGTTGAGATATAATCCATACTGAAGGCTGGAGTCTTTGATCTTCATCAATAAGATTTTCAAGTCTTTGCTCTCAACAGGTAATGTTGTATCATTTGCCTACCCTTGAGCAGACTACAAGGGTCTTTTTGTTTTTGAGTCTCTTGAAGCTAAAAGTCAAAGGAGTGCATTGTCAACACCTCATATGTGGTTTGTGCATTTTTTTAGTACCCTCAAAGAAAGGTACATGTCCTTCTTAGAACAGTGCCCCAAAGGCAAATTCCATGTGAACTTAGCTTCACTGAGGTTTACATAATTGCTTCTTTTTGAGACCTAGCAGAAAGTTTAATATTAAAGCAGCTTGTTTTTGCTTAAAGTTCACCTTTAAAACTTCTTGCTTATTTCTGTTTTAATTCCAGGGGAATATGCCCCATAACGGATCATGGCAGGCAAGAAGGGCTTAAGGTAGACATGAATCTACTTTTATTAAAACAATATTTTTATGCTTTAACTAACAGAGGGGAAATCCTCGGACCAGTGTTTACAGGCCAAGAATAAATGAAGGGTGTTCTAATGCTCTTTTATCCTTAACAGTCTCTCTAGTTTCTTTTGACCTCAAGAGTTGAGAAAAAGGAAAAAATATTTAGGACCAGTAGTTTGAAGACATTGTCCAGAAAGATCATAGCTCAGCAGTACCCTGAAATGCTCAGTGTCTTTGTCAGGCAGTAAGCATTCTACCAGGAGAGTACTGTAGTCATCTCTGCCCTCTTCTGGGGTGTCGGGGGCCTTGTTGAGGGAATTCTGTTGAATTATTGTTGAGGGATCAGCCTGAGTTGTACAGCTCCAAGGATGGGGAAGCA